CTAATCCCAGCACTTTGGGAGGTGGAGGCGAGAGGATTGCCTGAGTTCGGGGGTTTGAGACCAGCCTGAGCAACATAGTGAGACTTCATCTCTACAATAAATAAAAAAATTAGCTGGGTGTGGTGGCACATGCCTGTGGTTCCAGCTAGGAAGGCTGAGGTGGAAAGATCACCTGAGCCCTGCAGGCTAAGGCTGCAGTGGCCATGAGTGTGCTACTGCTCTCTAGCCTGGGTGACATAGTGAGACTCCCAACTAAAAAAAAAAAAAAGATTTAGTTTTGGAGGTAGGTGGGATGATCTGATACTAACTACAGTAAGATTTTTGGAAGGGAGTCTTACCATTTATTATGTAGACGTTCACTTAATCTCCCAGATATTCGATGGTGTTTCCATTTTCAGCTGTGCCTGTCAGGCGCAATCTAGAAGTCTCTCGTCTTCTGCAAGATGGGAGAGGTGGATGAGGCCGACCAAGTGGCTGACTGCTTCCTACACAGGCTTTCAATCCAATATTATCCTCACTGTCAGGTGCAGCCAGTACTTTGATTATTGAGCTGGTTTGTGGTAGAAATTGACTTGTTTCTGAATTATTTCCCACTGTTGGCTTAGGGGTACATACAGCTTTCTCTAGCCTCCCGAGTGTGTTGGTGCTTGTTGTGTTTGCCAGCTTCCAGAACTGTAGTGCTCTTGCCTTCTCATCTTTTCTGTCTTTTTGCTCCCTGGAAGTCATGTTAGTTAGGTTTGGGGAAAAAGCAGAAGTAAACATTTATGCTCTATCTGGTTTGCTTAACTGTAAGTTGCAGTTTATTTTTCATGCTTTTTAAAGTTTTTTTGGATTTATTGTAGAGATAGGTCTTACAAAGTTGCCCAGGCTGGTCTCGAACTCCTGGACTCAGACAATCCTCTCGCCTCGGCCTCCCAAAGTGCTGGGATTACAGGCTTGAGCCGCCGCACCCAGCCGCATGTTAGAGTATTTTATGACCTATTTTTAAATTTTCTTCACCTAGAGTCAGAGACTGATAGAGTTGGTAAGGTCTTTAAGATAGCATTATGCAGCCGGGCTCGGTGGCTCAGCCTGTATTCCCGCGCCTTTGGGAGGCTGAGGTGAGTGGATTGCCTGAGTCCGGG